CTTTAAAATATTTGATTACTCTAAGTAGGTATTTTTATCAATCTAAGTGTTTTTGAATGAAAAATATTTTGTATTCAATTAAGTACACATATTTATGCACTTGGTTCCTTGTCCCAATGATGGAATGATTGTTGTAAATCCTATGAAGAACGTATAACCATGCATTTTATTTATGAAATAAAACAGTACAGTAATACAGTTTTCATTTGTATTGAGGTTTTGTTTTCTCTAGGCTTAGCTGAAAACTTGACACCACGGTACATCGACTAATTAAAAGCACTAGTTTGGCTTAATAATTAGATGGCTGAGGTAAAATGTCATTATATAATATATTATATATTATATAATATTATTATCATTATTTTATTACTTGAAAATGTTTCCTACACTTTCATCACTATGATTGCATTAATTAATTGGAATCTTTATACAAAAGTATTTGTAAATCGATTATAAATAATCACAGCGTGACACAACGCAGATAATCATAGTTCAAACAATTTCTAGTGAGGTGTAAAACTGAACCTATTGAAGGATACAATAAGGTACAAGTGTATAAGTTGTTACATACATAAATTATTAACTATTACTTACAATTTATAAACGTAAAATTTACAGAAAGTTACGAAGTTGAAGTTGTACACAACATAGCCTTCCTTTTTTATACAGTCTGGAAAAAAATAAAACGCTTTTATTTTTTTGTAAAAATGGTGAAAAATAATAAAACACAGTTTATAATACATTGATCTAAAAAGCGGGTTGCTCATTGATTCTATGATTAACAATTACTCTTACAGTCAAAGTGCAATTACGGACAGGTGACGTTTCATAAATTACATAGTGCAATATCATTACCACTCTGAGCCTATGATTACAGTGTAGTGCCATTCAAAAGAGCAATTAACCCCTGGAAACTATTTAACTAGATTAATAAAGCTAACTAATATAATTGCATTAACAATTTTGTGGATACGATTCCAAGTTCAAAGGAAGATAAATATGAAAATGTATTTTAGTTTAAAATAATAGTATTTTAAAAAAAATAGTTATAATCTAGATTTTGACGTTGAGAACAAAGTACAAAAGTTTCAGTTTATTTGTGGTACTATCAATAGAACTTTAAGCAACAAGATGCAAAAAGAAACACTTGTGAAGTTTTACAAAGTCGTGGCAGCTCCTACTATACTCTATAGTAGTGAGTCTTGGGTTACCTCAAAAAAACAGGAAAGTAAAATTCAAGCAGCGGAAATGAGATTCTTAAGAAAAGTAAATGGATCAACAAGAAGAGACATGATAAGAAGTGAAGAGATAAGAAGAGGATTGAATATATACAGTTTAAATGAAAATACCCCCGCCGCAGCAAACCTGACGCCTAAGCGAATTTCCATTTGGCTGAATTGATTTTCAATTGATCTATTTAAATAACATTTAGGTTTAACGAGTACCTAGGTTTGCTGCTACAAGGAAACTAATAAAGTGTGTGTTTTAAGTAAAATAATTATTGCTTTGCCAAGTTTGATCAAAATATATCCATAAACAAGCAAACTACAACATTTTACAATATTCTCCATAAGAATAACATGGGAATTTAAAATTTGCCTTTTTTTTAGTTTTTTTTCGTAACCAATAACCGTACAAAAACACTTTGATATACTGAATTGTTTTTTTTTTTTTTTAAGCTCTTTAAGAAGGTTTAGAGAAAAATTGGGAAATTTTGTGTTTTGAGGGTCAAAAGTGAGAAAAACCAATTTTTACCCCATAAAACCCTGTTCCCATGGTCCGATCATGCTGGATCGCGAACTCATTCAAGTTTATCCCGCCTTACACCTTCAAACCAAATTTCATCAAAATCGGATAAAAATTACTCAAGTTATCGTGTTCACGGACACACACACACACACACACACACACACACACACATATATATATATATATATATGTATATATATATATATATATATACATATATAAAAATTTAAACGAGTGGTGTTTTTGGCCTCTGGGGACATCAAAATGAAAAAGTAAATCGGTCCCGGGCCTAAGTCTTACCATGAGACCTACGGTAATAGCTACTTCCCTATAGGGAAATTCGCTAAAATTGAAGAATACCGAGAGAGCTGGAGACAGCATCTTCAGAGAATACCGGAGAGCAGGTTTCCACGGAAGATTTTTAATTACAACCCTAGAGGGAAGAGGGATGTTGGAAGACCTCGGAAGAGATGGGAGTGAGGATATTTTTGTGAGATCGGAACAGGCGCTGCCTAATCCTTGGAGGAAAGAAGAAGAAGAAGAATTGTATTGTATAATAAACAATGTTATGTAAATATTATTTTGTAGGATTAATGTATTTTCATTATTTACATAGTATCCTATTGTTTTATATACTCGAATTTTTACTGTCTGGTTTATTTTATCTCGAGAGTATATTTTAAGTTGTATTCAATGTAAAAACTCATGTATAAGTTTGTGGTATTGTTAAGCATATAAAAATACATATTACGGAGTGAACAGTGCCATTTGAAGAAATATAGGAAATGAATACACATTTCCTGTGTATTCATTAGAAAAGGCTTAAGTTAAATTACGAAAAAAATAGAGTGTCGAAATAGTGGTTTTTTGTGATTAATGTGAATTTCGTAATAATAAATTTCAATCTGCACCGTACGATGAGTTAAGTTTTACTTTTGTAATTAGATTAGAAAATGGAAATACCTATTATGGTTTAATAAAAAGTTAAAAAATTAAGAAATGATATGAAGATTTTTCATTTAAAATGTTAGTTGCACTGAGATATTTGGTTTTAAATGTATTAACAATTCTGCCACTGGCAAAATTATCAAAACTGCAATAAAAACACACCTCAATACCTTCCCTGTAGCAGCAAACCTAGGTACTCATTAAAATAATGTTATTTAAATAGGAAATAAATCTTAGAAATATCAGGGAATATTTTAGTACAGATCCAGTCAGGTAAAAGGAAATTCGCTTAGACTGCGGTTTGCTGTGGCAGGGGTATTAAATTTATTAGCAGTTCTGCCACTGTTAAATATATAAATATAAAATATACAAAATAAATATGGTGAGAAATAAATATATCAAATATTACACCAAAAAACTCTCGCAATTTCCTTACAGATTTACGAGGCTAAACAATATGAAAATAAAAAAAACAACGTCTTGGTGTTTCCTATCATCGTCCAAAGTTATCGATCTCTATTATTACCACATAGAGATCGATGTCCAAAGCCTGTGAAGTTAATCACTCAGCTGTTTGGAGACCATATGATGACATCAGAATCCTTTTGACGATTAAAAGCCTGGGTACAGCTTGAGAAGATACTGAGAGGTGTGCACAGGGCACTCAAAAGACCGGCCAAATGATCATTTGGCCCTTGAGGCATTCTAAGGCTAGCTATAAATATTTCCAAAATGTAGCTGCTTTTCCCTTTTTGTGTGTTCTCTTTGCAAATACAACTTTGTACAATGTTGTGAGAGAACACTATAAATCCTTTTTTTTCTAATATGTGATGTCAACCTTTTACAAGATCGCATCATTAATCGTTAGTCCTATGAAATAGCATCTGCTGCCTAAATCAGCCAGATTTCGTAACGAACTAGCAGCCTGTAAATTTAAAGGTGAATAATAACTTCACTACCTTTGTAGTTAAAATAGTTGAATTTCGTCTGCCATAAAATTATAGTCTGAATATATGTTTGCAATAACTAAAATTGTTTTTTTATATTTTAACTTTTTTTCATCCTTTATAATATATTGCAGTTTTGTTTGGGGATATAGATTGTAATAACTAATTTAGAAAATGTTAGAGGGTGAAAATTTAAAAAGATATCAAATGGTAACTGTTTCCTTGGATCTGTACGCTATCCAACACTAGTCTTTCGATTGATGATATCTTTAAACTAGTTTGGGAAGTATGGCATTTTATATATGGGGCTCTTAACCATATTCAAGGTTTTACACAATTCATTAAATATCGGCCCCTAAAATATGTTATTATTAAGAACGTATGTGCTAATATTAAATGTACGCTAAGAAAAAGGTTTTCGTCCAAATCTAGGAATGTTGTCGACTGAGCTTAGGACTACTAGAACATTGACACTATCATGAAAACGTGTGTATTGTGATTGGAAAGGTTTGAACTCACTTACCAGTAGTAGAAAATATGTACATCCACTAATAGAACAAAATAAATAAGGTTTTAGTAGTAATTTATTAATGACTATATTAAACTTAGAAACGTACAACATTCAACACCAGATAGGCAATAAATACCAACCTCAACTCAATAAAGGACTTACAAGTTTAACAGCTGATAGCAAAGTCCACCCACAAAGTTAAATCCGAAATTATTACCTGGTGAACTACCCACACCTCGAGCATGTTACTTACTTTAGAGATTTTACCTTTAAACTGTGTGTAACGTGTGTATTGTTTACTAAAACTTCGGGGGTTAAGCTTCTTTATATGTTTATATGTTTTATTTTTGTTCATTTCTTCTATGTATGCTAATTAATTATCGTCTAATTAAATAATGTAGGTCAATCAATTGCAGTAAATCTGTAGACTATTTGGATTCTAGATACATTTTCGAAGTTATAACAGACACATATAAGATAGAATTATCAATTTATATTATTTCTCTGGATTGGGAGCGCTTGATAGTGAAGTAGGTAAATCATGAATTGATCCTTTAATATTTTATTATACTTATTAATTCGTATGAGACGAATTTTATTAAAATCTCAATCCTATCTATAAACATAACTAAACGTTTTGGTCAAAACTGTTTGTTTGTAGTTTCTAGGACCCTAACAGAAAACATAAACTGTAGTACCAAACTTAAGTCATCATATAGAATACAGTATTATGTGTATGTGTATTGTATATGAATATGTATGTGTGTGTGTGTGTGTGGTTATGTGTTCTGTATCGTTCTCCAGGAATTATCTTCAAAAGGTAATAAATACAAGTTCACCAATCAATAACTTTATTTTATTCCTGTCACATACCATCGGGATCGGGTTAATGTTTGATTGAGCACCAAAGTTAGCTGTCTTAAAAAGTAATTACACAACGAAATCTGGGAAGAATAGATTTTTATGTACACTTAGAATTGGAAGAATAAAACTATACTTTAAACTCTAGCAAAAATGCTATATAAATATAAATATCTAGCTTTACAAATATACATTCAAATTATTTACATATGTTTATACCATTTCAAGAATTGTTTAATAATATATTCAAGACTTTGGTAAACAACACGATATCTTAACTACTTAACCAGTTTGGTTTTCAAATGTTAGCAATGATATTTAAGAGTGATATCATAGCCACCTCTAAGAGAAGGCTATGGTGATATCCATAAAAAATAAGTAGTAACATAAAGACAGACCAGAATCTACTTAATCAGAAAATAATGTAAAATTCCACTTTTAAAAATTTTCATAACCCAGTAAAATATTACAGCTTAAATCAGTTGAAACGTTTGCAAATGTTTATTTTCTTTCAAAATATTGATAAAAAAGTCTAACTAAGCATTTATTAATAATTAAATTACAGTATTCAATTAAAACTTATCTATTGGGTACAAACTGTGATAATAATATACTAAAAATCATTAAGAGTATTTTAATGGAGGGAACAACAGTAGAAGAAGACTGCACCGTGGTTGGTTGGTCTGGAAAAGAAAACATATTTTTAATAGAGATATGCGTCAACAATACGTTCGGTTTTATATACTCTACAAACAACATCATTGTTCACAAAACATCAATGTTTACAGGACATTCAATCACTAACATGATATAGATCAGAACCGATTAATAGATGTACTAAACCCACCAGCCATCTCCCGTAACAGCCCATTCCCTTGATTGAAGGGCTGGTATATACTGAATGGGGCTCTACTAACAGCTAGCATAGCGGCCATTTTAGTCTCAGTTTATCAAATGGCTACATCAGTATTCTATTACTAAAGAGATTACATAGTTACACCATTTAATGACATCTATCTTATACAACAAAGCGTTCTTAATGTAATTTGCATGTAATTGAATAATATATAAATGTTGGGATCATAACCTATATTTTTACAGTTTTGCTGAGGTTGAGCTTCGATGTTAAGGTTTATTAAGGGGAGGTAATGGGCTATATAAAAATTTCTGTTACGCACTTCTTTCTGTTTCGCCATAAGAAGACCAGATTTTTCATGGATTATTCCAGATTTAAACCGAGTAATTGTATTTCTACTGTCGCATTTATTTAATTGCTAAATTTTATTTTGAAACTGCACACAAACGCGTATATAATTTCCTCTTTACTATTATGTAAAACTTCCAGGGATTGTGTTTTCTGTCTAGTATTCGGAATGAGTCAACTGAAGCCAGTTACACGACGTAAATGGATGCAGTTGAATTGTGCCCTTACACAGTGCTATTATGTAGATTACTTATATATTTATTGTATACATACTCCTTGATAACTCCGTGACTAAACTATGTGAAATAATGTCTTTTAGTAAGCTAAACCATATTTTAGATAACATCAAAATCGTACTACCAAAAGCGGGTCCCCGGAAGACTGCCCCCCGGAAAACTACCCCCCAAACAGGTTCCTACGTCATATTGACGTCAAAGACCGGGGGGGGGGCAGTTTTCCAGTCACGGACACTCAAATTAAGTTGTCAAACAGTTCTAATCTAACCTAACCTAACCAACCAAACTTGCTGTAACATTTCGAAACTCTGTTTTATATTCACCACATGACTTTTCTATTATCCAATGGAATTACTCGAATTAAAATTAAAATTAAACAGCATGATTTGTCTAGGGGGGGGGGGGTAGTATTCCAGTCACGGACACGGCTTCCATATTGGTTATTTGGCAGATTTTGTGACGTCACGTTTCACCTGGGGGGTAGTTTTCCGGGGGATAGTATTCCGCATCCCCCCAAAAGCTACTAGAAAAGAATAATTCCAAAAGTGTGCTTTATCAGTGGTTCTTTACACTATGTCTTGTTTTACTGAAATATTGGCTACAGCTCGGATGGAAGTGTACTCTACTTACACTACAATAGTCTCTACTTACCAACCAGCTTCTCTTCGGCCCGCCAGATGGCCCTGGTGTCCACCGTCCCTTGGTTGCTAGCGGCCACCACAGCTGCCCTCGGCCTCTCCAGCTCCGCGGAGTTCTCCGTGATCTGCCAGTAGAGGGTGTAGAGACTCGCGGTGCATCTCACCTTGAGTCGGCCAGACTCCGTGAAGTGGTCCCTGGTCAGAGGTACGGTAATGGTGGACAATCCTGTCACCAGCTCAGACTGCGTCTCGTGTAGTGTCCGGACATCCACCATCTCCTTGTCACGTAGCTGTAAATGTAATAAATCTGTATTTTCTGGATATATTATATTGATTACAATGTTGACTGTTTGATAATGGGAAAAGCTACAAGCTTTTTAGGGTTCATAAATGGGCCCAGCAGTGTAATCATTGGGCATTTAATATTTGATAATGGCACAAATTAGCTCACTCGATTCGAGACACAACTTGCATTCATATCTAACTTAAACCATACACCAGCTGTTATGCTCTCTGGTAATAGTAACAATAGGAATTATTGTTAGGTTGGTATTTTGTTAAAAGATTCAACTTTGTAAATATATAGCTTCAGCGAACACGGTAGCTCAGAGGTTGTCTTTTGGACTACCAGCAGATCAGACTTTGATACTTAACCCCTACTTGCCACTACTGTCATATACACTGTCACAAGAAACACTGTCTTGCCCCTGACGATTTTGTGGTACTACACAGTCTTTTGATTACCATAACAACCACTGGTCTTAGGTGGTGTAAAGTTAAGGTAAAAACCTATAGCTATGCGATAGAGGTTAGGTTTGGTTAGGTAGGTTAATGATATGTGGTCAGACCTTCGAACTAGGAAACGTACTGTGCTTGACGGTCAATGGTAATTTCAGAAATACATAGTCGGCCAGGACAGGGTGCCCAGATCACAAGTGAAAAGATTTGGTGAGTACTGGTGATTCGGTTTGTCGGTTAGATTTGAACAATAATGATCATTATAACCAAAATAGTAATTACACTAATGATTAGTTACGCTAATGACATACAATTCATACATTTTATTGCAACAAAGCTACGTACACGAATAAATGTGACCAATCTTGCACTAAATTTCACTTGGAAAATTCAGAGCCATAACAAAACTAGACCTGCATAGACACAATTCAATTTATTACAGCAATAATGATAAACCGGAGTCTCTAGGAAAGAGTAGACTAAACGACAAACTTGAAAAGTCCAGCCATCTGGCCGGTTATCTGGACTGACCAATATTTTCCCGGGCAGAGACGGATTAACTGATTGGCAGTTGGGGTCGGTAAAGATATTTCAACTGCACATTATAGACTAATGTATTGCCCTAAACATAAGGTTCCACATATGTCTTGTACCTACTGGACTTCCGTTGATGCTCCAGGTGAGGTTGGCAGGAGGTTTGGAATGCCTGGAGATGCAACTGGCTGAGAGGGTGTCTCCTACCCTGTACCTGGGTCTCATCCCCTCCAGCTCTGGACGGTGAGACGGCACCACTAAAACACGAGGGTGTTGTAAGCCTTGTTCCTACATACTAAGTTAGTAAGGTATTTTATCTGTTACCTTTCTATTGTTAAATAACGTTGACACATCGTTCCTTAATTGTACAGGATCGCTTACAAAGCTATCGATAATAGGCAGATTTGAGGAGTTTAAAAACAACAGGGAAAATCTTTAGATGAATCGACTCTGGACACTCAGCAAATAGATTTTTGATTTGTAAAATTGTATCCAAAGAGGCTACAAATAATGAGAAATGCACTTCAAGAATTCATACTTATATTAAAAGAGTAATTCTGATATGTCACTCAGGTAGCTATGAAATACATACAGATTCGTATTTTTAGTAAATTAAGAGGGGTTACAAAAAGACAAATTTAATAAATAGATAAATTGTAATACAAAAAGCTGGTACTGTATAGCTATCGAGAGCAGGACCTCGGTCCCTGATGTCCTGGGTACAAATTCTGCCAATCAATGATCGATTTTATCCAAGTGATGATGTTGCGAATCTCTTAATGTTAGTCTGAAGTAATAATGTTAAGAGCTATTATAGCTATACAGTAACTATAGCTAGAGCTTAGCGTCCAAAAAATTGAAGGTAAGACATTGAAAAAAGCTACGAATTTGAATACGACTTGCCAGCTTTTCAAACGGAAAAATGTTTAGTGATTTCATTTAAGTGATAGTTATTTCATTTTACTAATAAAATTTACAAAATAGTATAATTTAATGCAAAAAATAGCAAAAAATTTTATATTTAATTCAAAATACCATCGTCTATAATTTTATTTATTTCATCTTTTTTTTATTTGTCTTTATTTCTACCACAGATTGTAATAGGTAATCAATGTAGTTTCTCAGATTTATCAACAATAATAAGTTGATTTATTTCACTAAATAGTTTCAGAATTTACAATCTGAATTTCACAATAACAGTTCTCTGTCAGTCATTGTCTCATGTTTTGCACAATCAAAAGTCAAACTTGGTATCCTCTTTACTCACCACTGATCATTATTGTACAGACCACTGAACTTGCAGTTTTGCCCAAGTCTATCAGTGGCTCAAATTTCTCTATACACAGCAGTGAATTTCTAGTAATTGCCATTTTTGCCTAATTTTAAACGATGTATAACAAAATAAAACTAAAATATCCGAACTCACCAACGACGTCCATGTAGGCCGAGACTTGTGCAGTCCGGAAAGACGGACTATCGGCAGACACTTCACAGCTGTAGCGACCAGACAAAGACAGAGTCACTTTGTGTAGACACAGTTGTCTGGCATTGGAGCAGTTTCTCTACAACAATATGCAGAATCAGAACCTAGAGTCAGAACCGCTGCCAACCAACTTCAGTTAAAATATCTTATTCGATTTGGTCAACTTCATTTGACTTTGTTCACCAAACCCACCTTTCATAGTCACACACGTAATATACAGGGTGGTCTGGACCTAGCGTTAAAAATCTTTTCGGGTGGTAGAGCAACACAAGTGTGACTCAAATCCACAATTAAAAAAATATATTCCATACACCCACTTGCAGAAACATTATTTAATTTTTTTGTAGAAAAACTGCACATTTACTCAACATTTTAAAATTCCTCTAGTATTTTAATACATTTTTATAACTTTGACACTACCATCATATTCTCCATTAAATTCTATGTAAGAATAGACAGCTTTTGGTGAGCCCAAAGCTTCAGAATTGCTATTTCAATTGATTAGATCTAAGAAATTTTGATTTTCACAAAAAAAGGTTAAAAATAAGCCTACAGACACTTTTTTTTTAAATACTAGAGATTAGCAAATGGCTACAAAAACTGCTCTAAGATCTTAGCTTTTAAAAGATATGATGAGGCATTTAATTTGCTTCCTTTTAAGTACAGCTGTTCCAGTTATAACTGTGAAAAACATAGTTTAAGGAAAACAAAAACACACTATAACAAACCAAAAGACAAACCAACAGACACACATGATAGTTTTTATTATTATAGAAACAGCATGAGGCTGCAACAACATTTGTATCTAGACAAGTTCAAAAAGAATTCCAAGTATTGGATTGATAACTGTATATATATATAGACTGTTTAAACGTTTCTTTACTTTTCAAACTGTACTGAAACATACAGTTTGTGATAAAACAAACCTCATTCCCGTTAATTTTTTAGTAGGCTCGGGGTTACTAAAAACAACAATTATTGTTGTAGGCTTATTATCTTTAAACCGTTTGTCAAAGTCTTTAGGAGCGACCTAGTCTAGTGATAAAGCCCGTGACTTCATCCCCGAAGGTTCTGAGAACAAATCCCGTCAGTTACCAGCGAATTGAGCCTAAGTAATGATACCACAACCCTGTTGGCCCAACCTGATGTAATGTGAGTACAATATGTATAACTATACAACGATTATGTGATAGATAGCGTCCTAGGATGTGAAGGTGGGATGGTAAAAAATGAATATATCAATAGCTTTGCAGTTAGTTCGAATGAAACTGTGCTAGTAAAATAAAGCCAATTTTCCACGTAAAAAAATAATTTGTTCATAAAACTCCCCTATCAAGTGATTTACAATATCCGAATTTTGTGTATCGTTTATACAGGGTGATTGATATAAGTGTGCCAGCCGTTTTATTCGAAAACTATAAGAGATATCAAAACAAGTTAAATGGTAAGTGCCTTGGATTTTTTATTAAAAAAATTGTAGTCAAGTCAAAAAAATTATATTAGCCGCCATTTTTCCAATATGGCCGCCAATTTTGATTTTTCTTACGGAACATCCTGTATTTTATGATGTATTCTGGTAGAATGAGTAATTTTAAGACGATTTTATTCTTGTGATTTTTTTTCATAAACCTAACCGTTTCAAAGATAATAATGGTTAAAGTTTTGAAATTTCTGCATGAGAAAGAGTTTCGATAAATGCCTAAGCAAGCATGCCAGCTGTTTTGTTCGAAAACCATTCAAAATTTCACAACTTAAACCATTATTATCTTTGAAACGGTGAGGTTTATGAAAAAAATCACTAGAATAAAATCGTCTTAAAATTACTTTTTCTACCATAATACATCATAAAATATAGGGTGTTCTATAAGAAAAATCAAAGTTGGCGGCCATATTGGATAAATGGCGGCTAAAATAATTTTTTTGACTTGACTATAATTTTTTAAATAAAAAATCCAAGGCACTTACCATTTAACTTTTTTTGATATCTCTTATAGTTTTCGAATAAAACGGCTGGCACACTTATATCAATCACCCTGTATTTACAAGACAGCTCCAGAATGATAAAAACAACTACAGTGTATCAAGCTGAAATACAACAATGAACTGCTAGTATTATTTTAAGGTGGATATTATCATATTATGCTAAGAGTGGGTGTTAAAATTTGTACTTACTGAATATTTAACAAGAGGGAAATTTATATGAAAGGTTTACTGCTCCCAGAGTATCTTTATAACGATAAATTCTCTGAAGGACTAAATCTATTCATGGACATTTATTATCACCCGTGCACCTACCTCCTAAACAATGGTTTACTAGAACACAATGACTTTACATTTGGAAATATGTGTCCTTATGATTTTGTTAAAACATGAAATTGTGTTGACATGGACAATCTAATACCAAGGATGAATTTATTGCATTTGCTATCTTGTGATTCAATATAAACACACATACTGAAATACTTGATTATCAAATAGTAATTTTCAGGCCAGGATTGACTATGATTAACGAGGAAATGAACGAGATGTCCAGCCAACGCTTACATCTAGAGGATTGGATTTCCCATTGGTAATTAGAGCTTCGGATGAGAAATCGATCTCGGGCAGCATGTGGCCAGGAAGTCTTTAAACTTTAAACTAAACGTACGTCTTATATTTTCATGTGTAGAAACCAGGTGAGAAATAAATGTAGTCATAAAATGTAACAATAAATCCTATTGTATCAGACTAACCAGGGATAAATATTTCACCCCAAGGTAGATTGGTGATTTAAAAATAACTTTTCAAGCACACAATACTTACAGGATAAATGTTATGAAACTTGGCTGTAGGTTGGCACAAATTCAGCGTAGGTAAAAAAAAATGTATCTAATTATTTATACAAACCATATTAGGCCCTCCTCTTAAAATGTGACACAAGTGTGTGATAACTAAGCTTCGTGTATACAGGGGTTCATTTGAAAACCTTCCATATCTGCTGTGTACAAAGGTAAGGCTTTTAACGATTAATCGTTCTCATTTCCCCTTAATTTGGACATGCCGAATGCAATGAAGTTATTTTCAATTTTGAAAAATGCCCCAAAAGGGCCTAATTTGGGGGGTTTGATGATTTTCTATCATATCAAATTCTTAAGCATACAATGCTGCCAATTTGATTTAACAATCACCTAAAATTGGCCCATTACGATTCCTTATTCAAACATATCAGCTAGCCTGAAAAAATATTAAACAAAATTTGTTTACAAATTTCATATGGTTGATTTATGCTCAAATTAAGTCAAATATCAACACCGAATAAAGCCAAGAGCTCGTTAGATGCCACAAACCACGAGTACACTCTAGATTGGAAATTGGTTCTAAACTCTGGCAACGTAGTTTCAATCAAACTTGTTGTGTTAAGGGATCGACTTGAACACGCAAACGTTTTGAAGACTTACTAAGATAAGCTTTAAGGTTTTCCTCATAAGTGGAATCATCTTGTACCTCCTCCTACTTGGAAAAATTGCTATTTAATTAGAACAATTGTTTAATTTATAATTACGCTGTAATTTCATCTATTTGTTATTATATTATACTTTTATTCTACAATTTTAAGATGTGTTGTTATCTTAAATTTTTATAGTAGATAAATTTTTGTAATTTATTCAGCTATATCCATAATTATTTTTAACTGCTAATTTTAATTAATGTTTATAATTTAGGGTTTTATAACTTTTAATGTAAGTAAAGGATGATTAACATACTGAGTTTAAACTTAACATAAAGATAATTTATCAACATCGGTTGATGTTAATAATGACTATAAATTACGCCACGTAACAGCAATAGTATTCAAAAATTTATTAATGAGGTATTTTAATCTTTTTATTACTATTAAAATTCAGCAATTATTTTTTCTTTCATTATAGATAAATTTATCTTTTTGTATTTCTTAATTTAGACCTAGTATTATTATGTAAGGATTTTATTATATGACGCATCTCTTTTTAAGAAACTTAAAATAATTATCTATGCCCCAGAATCGATAATTAATTGATCATAAACTTTCCATTTTAACTATTTAAAACACATAATATTTTGATTCCCTGGATGGTTTTTTAGTGGCCAATTTGATTTTTTATGGTGATTTAGTGTGGATAAATAATTTTGAAGTATTTTCAATAACGGTCAATTGTAACGAACGGGACTCATGGTTATTAGTGAATTCACTCAAATTTACCTTTTTATCAAGCAAAATAATATGTTACTTTTGTCTAAGAAAACAGCCTACATAATAAGCCGATCACAATGAATTTCTCTTTTAGACCTATATTTCTACATTTGATAAGTTAGTAACTAGTTAAATAAAAATAAGTAAAATAAAGTCGTTATATGTGCTTTGATTTGCAATGGGTAGGATGAAGATAAAAGCACATTTCTTTAACATTTGAAAACAATAAAATGTGTTGAAATAAATCAACAATGCAACAAATAATTTTATACTAGAGGTCGTCCAGTGGTCGAAAACTCGATCAAAAATATGTAATGTTCAGATTTCTCTATTTTCAACCCAAGCTGTAAATAAAAAAAGTGATTGGAATTTCTTCCATTTGTTTTGATTTCCTGTGTATATTTCGTTATTTTGTCACCAACATGGCAACCCATTAAGGCCCATGTTATTTTTTTTATTTAAAATTAATTTGTTCTACTTATTTTTGAGCCTGTTTAAATTTATAAAGGGACTCTGCACATCCACATAAAACACATTTCTAACAGTATACGTAGATTTTCGCTCGGATACACACGAGCTGAGAATACAGGTTAAAGAAACATGCTTGCGTATTAATATATAGATCATCGAATCAATAGATGAGATTAACATTGTGGTAGGGGACCAATGAATGGTTACTCTTACACATCAATTTATTCGGACCAATTCGATCGGATTCCCTAAAAACTTTGAAAGCAGGGGGGTAGGAAAATAGGTCTACATCAAAACCGAATGAATCTAATATACGCTAAGTATTTTGGGAAGCAATTTTACGACTGACCCCTAATTTTCACGATTGTATATCTTCACTATTCATCATTATGAAACGTAAAATGGTCACATAGTTCAAAACATATTTTTTATCGATTAAAGGCTGTATGTTTACATCTCCTGGTTCATAGTTTCTACGTCAAAAGTAATTAAAAATATTTTTGGGTGCATTAATAGCCTAGCAATTATTGGTTCGGATTTCCATACGAAACGTTTGAGTTTGATCCATAACAAATACACATCAATTCCAGGGTTTTGAACCACTTTCTAGTACACTTTCACTAGTGCGTTTGCGGTACGTTCATACCAATACCACTGGCGTAGATACTAAACAAATTGAAATATACCAACCTGAACTACTAGATCAGACAGCCCCTGGATCGGGAAGACTTTAAGCTTTGGATGCTCTCGAGGAGTGAAACGGTAGAACTCGCGGCGTCCAATGTACCACTTGACTGAATACAGAGCATCCCCCTCCAGGTCGTAGTCACAGTAGAGGATGGCTAGCTGCCCCCTGGACACCGCCTCTGGCACACGCACTCGCACATCCCTTAGGCCCGTGACAGCTACCCCTGTCAAGAACAAATATTTGAATTTGAATATTATACCTGGGTAGGTACTTGGTTGTACTGTCAACTTTATTGGTGGTTGGTTAGTCAGTTCAATAGTCTTCTGGCTTGGATTTCACTATCAACTGTTTATTGGTGTTGGACAACCATGTAACTGGTTCCCAAACGCTTGCAAAACAGAAAACGATAATGGTGCCAAACTGTATGCATAACATTGATATTTGAACTGCAAAGGGAACTTTGATTAAAACAGACCTTCTATACACAATTTTTCGTGTTGGTTAGAGTTGAGGGGTTTAACCTAAACTTAACCATACCAACATTACATAAAATAAAAAAATTATAGAGCATTTATAATAATACTGTACATAAACGGTCTACCTAGTATTACTTGATTTTTAAAAGTTTGATAACCACCCCCAATGAAATGCTTGACAGCCAGTCCCACCCATCGATGTATAAAACTAACATCGATGGGTTAGTTTTATACAGTATATCGATGGTCCCACCACGGCCCCTCTTTTTGAGCCGATACTGTCTTTCCAGCCTCAGAAAACCTGAAAAACCTACCTCAGGTCAATTATCTTATTATATTTGCACCCTAGATCACATTTAATACAAATGAATGGTTCAAAATGCATGCGGCACTGCCAAGTTTTCCTCTAATTTTCGACCAACTTTCAAGCTGGACAAAAAGTTATTTAAACTGACTCATTCACCACCAACACCTAGCGTCCGATGGTATTACTATCATTTTGCAAAAATATTTAAAAAACCTTATGTTCGTGTAAGTGTTTATGATGACTATTCACAACCTCAGTGATAGAGCATTACTTTAAATAATTACGTTTTCAACTTAAATGAATCTTAATTTTAAATCCATGCCTACCAGGCAGTAGTAGGAAATAAGGGGATTTCTTGATAGATATTTTGAAAATTGTATTATGTTATAATGTTTTTTTTTTCTACAAGGCATTTTTATTTTATGTTTATTTGGGCCGATGTAGATTTTACCCCGATGGCATTCAATGAGTAAACTAGAAGTATATATTAATGCTGTAAGCCCCTTAAATTTAGTGACCTAATTAATTTCTCAAGATCAGTCTTTTATGGTTAAGAATCATAAACTTTAAAATACAGGGTTTTCATAAAATAATGGTGGGGTTTTAAGTGTCTGTAAAACTTGTATAAGACGAAATAAATACTTTATATTGGTATCCTTGCATCCGGCAGCTCAAACAGTTTTATTTACATTGATTAAAAAAATGTTTTAATTGATGCAATAATCGACAACCAACTTATTTTTTTAATAAACCTCAGTTGTATGTTCTTTACAAACATGTTCTCAGTAAAAAAAATATATAAGTGTTTTAAGTTATTTTAAACTAAAGTCAGTGACAATTAATACAACGAGCATTTAGAAGAACATTTAACAAAGCTCCACTTCATTAAAATAACATTTGTCGTTGGAGCAAGCATTTCATAAACACTAGGTCAGTTAAAAAACATGTTGAGTTACTATAGGCTACATGTGGATTGGTAGATGTGGCCCTATAGCATGGTCTCCAAGAAGCCCGGGACTGACTCAATGTTATTTTCTCTTTGTAAATGTCGTGAAAAAAATAATTAATTAAAAAAAATTGAAATTCGGCCCATCCAAGAGAAAGGATCAGAGATGCTGCCTTCATTGTTACAAGAGTTACATTACAACAAGTGGGCTGAACTTGATCATCATCGTCTAGACGTCTGTGACGCAATAAATGGTAGCCATGTTTAAGTTTATTAGTTATGTATAAAATCTTTATGATGTCGGAAATCCAACAGAGATTATAAGTTTTTGATATCCTTTCTCGATTTCTCTTTGTTTCATAATTAAAACCAACCATTATTTTATGAAATATATACCTCTATATATACCTCTCTTGATTGACCTTTTATTTTAAAGTATTTTATAAACTGGTATAATTAGCGAAACTATATTCTTTTATTAGCCTAGGCAGAAGTTATTGTGTACGTTAATTTCAATATTTCAAATGTGAACCTACTGGTAAATTAAAGATTCTGACACTTCGTAATGAGTTGGAATAAATGTATTTAATATTCACTCATAGTCATCTTTTGCACATCCCTTCTTGCACAAACGAAGAATAACCCAATGTAAAAATCATATAACAAATGTAGTAAGGAATTCGAGATTATCGAGACTCACCCCAAACTAGAAACCAGGTGAATACACAAGGACTTAGCAGATAGTTTGGGACCCTTAGATCCATTCCGACCCGAACACCTCACATCTGAAACAATAACAGTATATTTTTTTTTAATAGAATAATTTGATAAGAGCAGCACAAGTAATACATAAACATAGAAATTAGTAAGATAAAAGTACTTTTAACGTAATATAATCTTAACTTGCGAGACCACTAAAGTATCCGAATCAAAACTACCCTATGTGCTAAGCCTAGGTGTTATTTAACTTATCCAACGACATAAACTGGTTTAACATTATTCCTACATAAACTGTCGTCCCTTAGGACTGAGATAAACACGGGTATTTATTACACGTCATTGTTAAATAAAAACTACATTGTTGCAGAACAAATCAAAGGGGAGTTTACATTAAATTGTTCCTAACCGTTCTGTACTACTTAGATACGGACAACATCGTACAGTACTTGTTTATTGATACATATAGAAATAATTTAAATGATATCAAAATTTCACTCTAAACAATGTTTAAAGTCAACCTTTTACACTTCTATTGGAAATATGCAGCAAATAAACAATCAGATTTATATACTAGTAATGAACGAGATTTAATTCTGGAAACTGGACGAATAATGGATGATTTTGAGATTTATATCTAACCTTTTGGGTATTAAAGAGTAAATAGGTAGTTAGCACTAACTGTATTGCTAAAATATTAGTATCACAGTTTAAATATTTCCACTCATAATGGACCTTTTAAACTCAAATGATATATATTGAACAACAAATATTAAATATAACAAATATTGAAAAATGGATATTGATTTAAACACTCAATATTTCTAAAATCCTCTAAATAAATTCGGGTAAACAGATATTACACAAAATCGTGTTAATCTCAAATCAATGAATTGTGCGTGAAACTACTCAAAGTATTAAAGATTCTCAGAATAGATTTTGCGTTACACGTTCAGGTGTGTTGCGATAGATATTGCTGTTTAATACCTTCCTAACAAAGTAGATTAAAACTAAGCCGCTTTTGAGGCATATATGAGGATGATTCAATTATGATCATCGTCTGCATAAGCTTTGAGGATTTAGACCATCATATGACACATTATGGTAAAGTTCCGTTATTCAATGAACGAAATTAAATACATTCTATTCCATACTGATGACACTCTAACGCCATTTTCTATTGCAGTATTACATTCACGATCTTAAAGTAATTGAAGTATTTTATTATTTTTTTATAAAATGGAAACACATTGAATGAATGAATGAATGAACTATTTATTTATTTTGGTACAGAGAATTAGTACAATGGTACAAAACAATTTAAGAAATATAATCCCCAAATGGGCTAATGCCAGTGGTTGGGGATAATTATTTGGAACTTAATGTTTACAAAGTTAATATCAGAGTATAGACGATTTTTATCCACTTACGTTTCCAAAACACTTCTTTAAGTAGTGTACAGTACACTACACAGTACAGAACACTACTTACAGTAACAGTAACACAGTAACAGTAGTCTACACTGTTAATTGATTGCCAAAAAATATGACTTGAGTATTTTAATAATTAAGTCCACTAGTAAATGTAAGCAAAAATCTCTCATCTTTAACTTGTTTGATATAGCTACGAGAGATGCACGACTCAACAAAACAGGAACTACGTGAAATATTTAGCAGCACTTTTCCCCAACGTCATAAACTGGTTTGATATTGTTCCTACATAAACTGTCGCCCCTTAGAACTGAGATAAACACAGGGTATTGCACATCACTACTAAACAAAATTATAGTGTTGCATTAACTGAATCGTAGAGGAATGGCCATTTAATAATTGCTAACGATTTTAAATAGGTTAGAATATTTATAACTAAGAAGTATAAAAAAGTAGTTTTAATGGGCTGTAAAAATTAAGAAAGTGTAATTTATTTTTATTGTAAAATTTGTTGCCAACACGTTTTTGGGATCATTCGTAACAAAAAAGATTTCAAACCCTAATTGGTTGATCATGAAAATCGCTTTTAACACGATCAACGAACACAGTTTTCAAGCCAATGAAAGGTTTCAATGCAAGGTTAATTGATAGTGATGTTTCAGTTACACAGGCTATTTATTTGCTTTAGCTGGTCTATAACTGAATTTGCGTTGAAAATCAAAAGTTAATTTTACTTTTATTGTATTCTAGTCTATAATAACTTACTGTAGCAACGAAAAAAGCATTTTTATTTGTTTTTAGGGTTAGTAATAATTCTGTGCTCTATAATTAGTATTTAATAAAGAAATAACTATTTTTTCTTCATGAATTGATATATGTGTATGAAATTGAAATAATATATCTACATTATACACGTTAATTGTTTTATTTGTTGTTAGTTTAGACCATACGTATCATGGCCCTAGTACCACTTGGATGATCCATTGGCGTATTCCCGAGCTTGCACTTTATCTCCAACTAATTCCTTTTTATAAGTGGAGTCCCTTTTTCTGATGTTTGTTTTATTCTAAGGGTGGAACAAAATTATTGTGAGGTTGGATCGTATACTTTTTCCAAAAATTAGGTGATATGGTGATGTTCCAGTGGAATATAGGGATTGTCTGAGTTGCAATAGATGTCTTAGGATTTTATTTTGTAGTGTCCCCTTTTCTCCCTCCATAGATTTCAACGGCTTCTTGACCGTCTGCACGTATCTTCTAGCCTGGCCGTTTGAGTTTGGGTGGTATAGTGCCGTTCTTCTGTGAATAACCCCACATGAAGTTCTTGAACTCTTGGGAAAAAATCTGTCTTCCTTATCCGAGCCTAAGATGTGAGGAAACCCAAAAGTTGAAAAGAATCTACGTAATTCTTGGATTGTTCTTGTAGTTGTTCTTGTCTGTATCACCTCCACCCATTTACTGAAAGCACTTACTAATATCAGGTACTGTTGGCTATCTGTTGATCCTAAGAAATCGATATGCACCCTTTCCCATGGATTAGAAGGTTGTTCCCATGGATGGATAGTTTTTCTAAGGTTGTTGACTGTTTTAATACATTATAGACATTCAGTAATCATCTCCTTAATATCCTTGTCTATACTTTTCCACCAGCAAAAGCTGCGAGCTAAATTCTCATTTTTATTCCTCCTCTCTCAGGTACGTGTAGTTCTCAAATCACATAAGGTCTGAGGAATTGAGACATCATGACTTTCCAGCTCTTCAGCACACAATCATTTTGAAAGGACAGCGCGTTATCGTGAAATCCGAATTGTTCCACAGATTTTCCTGATGGGACCCAACACTGAATCTTTGAGAGTTTCCCTAGCTACCACAGTACTGTTGTACATATTATATTGTACACATTCGCCTATTGGGTCTTAAGATAATTGGAGTGTCCAATCGAGATCTGTCACCACTTATCATCTTTTATATGTATTTAACATCTTGTGAGTAAACAGTATAAGTGTGTTTGCCGTATTTTTGTACTTACATTTATTTAAGAACAGATCTTGAACAGCATCAAGACGTTATTTAATTAAATTTACGAATTTTAATGTATTCTTTTCCGCACTGCGTACGATTGTATTCTGAGGTCATCTGTGTACTATATTATAGTATTATCATGCACTAGCGTAGGTAAGGTGCGTGCATTTAATAGTTTTTCTCACTGTTCTCACTTTTTAATACAAGAGATTAAAATCAAATTAATTTAGAACTTCCTTATGTTTTCTAAAAGCATCAAATAACTCAAAGAGGACCAATTTTGTCATATTCAAGTGCGTGGGTTTATTCAAAGAACATTTAGTATGAAAAACAATGTCTTCCCAATATAGATTGTAATTTTCAAAGGAATATCAACTAGCCTACACACACCCTCACAGCGTTCCGGCTTTGTTCTGCATTAATAATATTGTCAAACCCACTTCACGTTTCAATCTAAACGGTAATTTGTCCCTCCTTAAAATAACATCAACGAATTTATATTTTTAGGTTTTGGTTTTGTAGGAAATAAAAAAATATGCCGTTAATATAACAATAAAAATAAACTATACCGTATATTTTGTAATGGGTGTCAGTGCAAAATTTTATATTATAATTGTATAGGTTTGAATTATAATGACACCTTAATAGAGGGATCTGTTTGTTTAATTGATACATGGTTACAGCCATAAAAATCGCTACAAATATCAATCTCACTGCCCAACTTTTTGTAAACGCTTATAATGTCATTCTAAAAAGTTTCGTTCTTTCGTTTCAAACTGCAATCAACTGCTATTTAGGCCATAATACTATGCTCCAAAAGCAAGCCAAATGCAATTAATTGACGAAGAAAATACCAATATAATTGTAGTATTTCAATCATAAGCTCACAACAAAAAGCAAAGAAAATGTCACGAGTTTAATTTGTCAGGGCTAAGAGGTGCTAAATAAACACAACCTACGTGAAATATTCAGCACTCTTCCCCAACGTCATAAACTACTTTATATTGTTCCTACATAAACTGTCGCCCCTTAGGACTGAGATAAACACAGGTATTTATTGCATGTCACTGTTAAATAAAACCTACATTGTTGTAACAGTCGGGTTATAAAGAGGTTAACACTAGATTATTTAGAGTATTATCATGGTCCAGCTATGTGGGAAACACGTGAAATTTTATTTCAAAGCCTACTACCTCGGGTTTTATGACTTTTATGTCATTAATGAAATCCCTAAGAAAGTATCCAACAGAACGAAAAATGTAATACTTTTACATCCTTTTTACAATGCTGCAAAATTGATATTTAGAATGCACAATGTAGTATATTGAAGCAAGTCATCCAAATATAGTGAGTTTCAAAGAATTGTTAATTTAGTAAATTGTACACACCCTTACCTTCGCTCACCCGAGGTTTTATAGTGTACAAAGACAAATGGAGGTTTACTTCGTAACTCCGTCTGAAATTCCACGAAATAAAATTTGTTCTTCCAAGTTATTTGCATCTTTTGGTATGTTTTTTAATGTTAAATCTTTAAAAGTAATTTCAAGGGAGTTAACCATAAATGACCTAATTTCTAGGAAACAGATAAATGAACCACGATAATAATAGAATATCACA